AACATTAACCATAATAATGATAATGATAATGGTGATTATAATAATATCAATAATAATAATAATAATGATGATAATAATAATATAAATATTAAATATTATAATGCTGATTATCATCATCATCATCTCCATCATCATCATCATCATTATTATAATAATTATTTTTATTATTACTGTTGTTGTTACTGCTGCTGTTATTATGATAATAGCAATAATGATAGTGATGGTAATAATAGTAATAACACCAATGATAGTGACAATAAGAATAGAAATAATAATTATAATTATAATGCTAACAATAATAATAATAATAATAATAATAATAATAATGATAATAATAATGATAAATAATAATAATAATAATTATAATGATAATAATAATAATAATAATAATGATAATAATGATAATAATAATAATAACAACAAATAGTAATAATAATAATAGTAACAATAACAACAATAATAATGATAATAATGTTAATAATAATAACAACTATAATAATAATAATAATAATAATAATAATAATAATAATAATAATAATAATAATAATAAAATAACGCAACAATCATGATAATAATAATGATAATAATAATAACAATAATGATAATGATAACAATATTACTGGTGATAATAATAATAATGATAATAAAAACAATATTACTGATGATAATAATAATAATGATGTTAATAATGATGATGAGTAATAATAATACTTATAATAACAATAATAATAATGATAATAATAGTAATAATAATAATGATAATAATAATAATAATAATAATAATAATAATAATAATAGTAATAATAATAATATTGCTTATAATAGTCAGAAGATAATAATGATAATAATGATGTCATAATGATAATAAAGATAACAATAATGATAATGATAATGATAATAATAATAATAACAATAATAATAATAATAATAATTATTATTATTATTATTATTATTATTATTATTATTATTACTATTATTATTATTGTTATAACAATAACGATAATAATATCTCTAATGATGACGATGATGATAATGATAAAAATAATAACAGTAATAATAATAATGATAATAATAATGATAATGATAATAATAATAATGATGACAATGATAATAATAGTTATAATAATGATAATGATAATAATAATGATAATGATAATAATAACGATAATGATAATAATAATAATAATAATAATAATAATAATAATAATAACAATAATAATAATAAGTAATAATAATAATGATAAAAATAATAAAAATATTAATGATAAAAATAATAGTCATAATAATAATCATGATAATAATGATAATGATAATGGTAATAATAATAATGGTAATAATGATAATGATAATGACAATGGTAATGATGATGGTTATGTTGATGGTAGTAATAATGGTAAAAAATAGAATAGTGATAATGAAGTAACAATAATAATGTTAGTAACATACTCGAATAATAAAGCACTCACTTCAAAATCTTGTTCGGTGAATTTGCAAACGAAGCTTACGGCAGACTCCCTCTCCGCAGACACTTGCGCGGACAACAACCAGTTCTGTGACACTTGGGCAGCGATGGGCGAATGCAACAAGAACCCGACCTGGATGAACGTCAACTGCAAAAAGGCGTGCAAACAGTGTGGTAAAGTCCCCGCTGCCTTAAATTTGGTGCATATTTTTTATCACTGGGAAGAACGGTTAGAAAGATCTTCCTTATTTCCCTTTATTTCTCGCATTTCTTTTACGTGAACCAAGATCAGATATGCTTGATACTAGGCCACACCTCAGTGCAGAATTCACTGTCAGGCGGCGCTGTGACTGACTAACCCTTGGTCCCAACAGGCAAAGAGTGTCCCGACCATAACGAGCACTGCTCCTACTGGGCGAGCAAGGGCGAGTGCGTGAAGAACGCCGCTTACATGGGTCGCTTCTGCAAGAAGTCCTGCGGTTCCTGCCATTCCGCCGGTGAGTCCTTCCTCGTCCTCACATCCATCAGGAGCGTTCTCTGTTTCGTGAGATTCCTTCATACATGGCTTCCTTCGTTTGGATCTGCGGAAAACGATAGCCTTATACACACCTAGTCAACTCGCCCGTTTTATTTCAGTTAGAATGCTCTCATTTCTGCTTCCTTCCAGACGAGTTCAAGAAAGACACGTGCGAAAACAGCCACAAGCACTGCGAGGCCTGGGCCACGGACGGGCAGTGCCGCTCCAACCCGAACTACATGCTAGTCTGGTGCCGCAAGTCTTGCAAGCAGTGCTGATCTTACCAGTGCGAGACACCGGGAGTGCCGCGGCGTCACCTAATCCCTTCCATTGCCTTTTTGATATTCCCAGTTTACCATCCTCCCTCCCCCTCTCCAACCGACAGTGGCATACCAGGGGGCCCGTTCTCCGTCTTGGACCCGTCACTGACTACATGGACTGTGTGTGGCCTTTGAACTGCGCTTAGAGATAATTGTCTTCATACCAGATATTGTTGCTATATAATAAACAGTTATCCTGCACGTTTATTTAAAAGTTTCCTCCGTGAATTGAATATTTATGAATGAATTGAGTATGTGTACGTGTATGTTTAAAATGCATACACACCATACATAAATACACACACACATACGCATGCTCACACACACACATACGCATGCTCACACACACACACACACACACACACACACACACACACACACACACACACACACACACACACACACACACACACACACACACACAAATAAATAAATAAATGAATAAATAAAATAATAATAATAAATAAAATTAAATTAAAAATTAAAAATAATGTACACAACTAGGCTACAGGAAGAGTGAAGTTAGATAATGACGGGTTTTCATTTTGAACACAAGGAGAGCGAGAGGGCAGTAAAATGAGGCGGTAAGGATGTCAAAAGGTACAACATGCCAAGCAGAAATACTGAAACATGGAACACACACACACACACACATATATATGTGTGTGTGTGTGTTAGGCTCCCACATGGCACCCAATATTTCTATAAATATTTCGACCTATTGCTCACTGTCATCACACATATAACACTATTACCAGATCATACATCTTAAGCAGTAACATAATTTCCCACATACGAGCCTTCCGCCCTGCACAATTGCAGACAAGACATCCGTAGGCCTTCCGCCTCGTGACGTCGCTCTGTTTGCAAGAACACATCCTCTCTCTTCCATTTCCTAGTACACTGCAACCCTTTGTCAATTTCCTATGTAAAACCTGAATAAGAGAGGGTCGCCTGCGAGCGACAGAGAGACCGCTGATCGGACCGAACCTTTGTCCATCAGTTGTCCCATCCTCTCGCGGTAATAAACTGCTGCTATTGATCACGGAGTCCGCTACACCTCCACCGCTACCTAAGATCTCGCAGGCGCGACTTTGTCTGCACACGACCGCTCATCGGCCTTATTACAGTGCGTGTGTGTGTGTGTAATGTTGATATATAGATATATACAGACTGCAGACAGTACCACACGCTCATGCATATCCACTGCATACAACCATATCGAAGGAGCAACGGAGAACTCGGGAGGAGGAGGAGGCGAAGGGCGGGCAGAGGGAGAGAGGCAGAGAGAACGAGTGAACGAGGGGGGGGGAGTTAAACTGAAGACTAACCAGCAAGGTTGCTAATCTTCCAACCGCTCAATTATTCCGCAGTCAGCAGTTGACATATTAGGCGGCGTCACCGCTGACAGCCCCCGAGTGGCAAGGCGCGAGAGCATTCTCTCCCGCTCAAACGCCCGCGATCGAGTCCTCAGTCTTTTCAGGGTTATTCAGCCATCCGGCTCATCAGCCAATCAATCCAAGGGGCCGGGGATTTCCATTTAAATCCCTCTGCCGGATTAAACTTCGGTCAAAATATTGAAGCATATGGGCCATATTAGGGGCGGACCGCACTGCCGGGGGCGCACAAAGCCATGATGGCGGGATGGGGAGAGGAGGAAGGGGAGGGGATGCGGGGTGGGGGGTGGGGGTAGAGCGTGGTGGAGTTTATTTCGTGTCCTCCTCCTCTTCACTCTCTCTGGCTCTGTCTATATGTCTTTGCATATATTTTTTATCTATCTATTTCTTACTCTGTCTATCTACCTGTCTAACAATCTATTTCTCTTCCCCCCCTTCTCTCTCTTTCTTTCTCTGTTTATCTATCTCTATCTATACATATTTTTATCTATCTACCTTTCTATCTATATATATATTTATTAATCTATCTACCTATGTATCTACTTCTAAATCTCTCTCTATCTATCTATCTGTCTCTCTAATTATCTATCTACCTCTTCCCCCCCTTCTCTCTCTCTCTCTCTCTCTCTCTCTCTCTCTCTCTCTCTCTCTCTCTCTCTCTCTCTCTCTCTCTCTCTCTCTATGTGTGTGTGTGTGTGTGTGTACGAGAAAGAGAGAGAGAGAGAGAGAATGAATGTAGCAGACATATCTATCTGTCTTTTTATCTCTCTGTCTATCTCTCTATCTATCAATCTATCCATCTGTGTGTGTGTGTGTGTGTGTGTGCATGAATATATATGTGTATTTATATATATATATATATATATATATATATATATATATATATATATATATATATATATGTGTGTGTGTGTGTGTATATATATATATATGTGTGTGTGTGTGTGTGTGTGTGTGTGTGTGTATGTATGTATATATTCATCTATACACCCACACACACACATGCATATCTATTTATCTATCTATCGATCTATCTATCTATCTCTCTCTATATATATATATCATATGTTATATATAGAAATAATAGACAGAAAGCTAGATAGATATGTGTGCCCTCCTCGCCCAGGAGAGCGGCGACCCGAGCGGCATCCCAGCGCTAGTCTCGTCCTGCAGCTTCGTGGCGAGCTTGCGGCTTAAAGGGGTCCCACCCCTATTGTTCGCATCTAAACCCCCTTTTAACCCGGTAATCATTACTCACGTCGGATTAGATCCTCGATACGACAAGTGAGCACGGTAGTCTATTGTCCGCCAGATTGCGCGCCATATACTTAGCTTTATTTTTTGTCTGGTGACTTTAATAACTTTGATAAAATATTTCATTTGATCATATAGAATGTGACTTTCTATTGAGTCGGTCTGATGTAAGGTGGGAAGCCTACTGCGCACGAAATGTTTATTCATAGCGAATAACAAGTTAGTCCTTTTTTGGGGGGGTCATGATTATTGGATCGAGTCCTTTTCTACTAGTGGCATTGTTCTTACAATTATCAGTAACGATATAATTCCCTTGGCGCATATCACCTTCGTGCCAGTTCTTATATTCAGATCCCGACGGAACTCGTCATGTCTCCTTCACTCCTTGATTACGAATCTTCGACACATCCGTAAAACCTCTTCCGCATTCACCGGTCCCCGCACCGCCGTCGCCTCCTGTCCAGGCAGATCATCGTTTTCCATGCAACATCTACTCCGATAAAAGCATCGCCATCTATATCAGCATCAGTCTCCTGTCGGTGCGCGAGCTTTGGCGCTTCCATCGTCAACCTCACTACTGCCAGAGAAGAGGCGTCGGTGCGGATTAAAAGTCCTAACAAGATGTTATGAGAAAATGAGGTGCATTTTCTCTATTATTATTATCATTGTTATCGTCATTAGTACAAGTAGTGGTAGTATCATTACTGTTGTTATTCTCATTATTATCATTATATTATCATTATTATTATTATTATCATTATCATTATCATTATTATTATTGTTATTGTTATTTATTATCATTATATTATCATTATTATTATTATTATCATTATCATTATCATTATTATTATTGTTATTGTTATTTATTATCATTATTATTATTATTATTATTATTATTATTATTATTATTATTATTATTATTATTATTATCATTATTATTATTATTAACATCATCCTTATTGTTATAATCATTATCATCATAATCATTATCATAATTTTCATTATTACTAATATCATTATTATTATTATTACTATTGTTATTCTCATTATTCTCATTATGTTATCATTATTATTATTATCATTATCATTATTATTATTATTATTATTATCATTATTATTATTATTATTATTATTATTATTATTATTATTATTGTTGTTGTTATTATTATTTACTATTATTATTATTATTATTATTATTATTATTGTTATTATTATTATTATTATTATTATTATTATTATTATTATTATTATTATTATTAGCATCATCATTATATTATAATCATTATCATCATAATTATTATTATTATTATCATCATCATCATCATGTTATCATTATTATCATATTGATAATATCATCATAATTATCAAAATCATCATTTTCGTTATTATTATTATGGATAATTATTATCATTATTTTCATTGTTACCATCATTATCATTATCACTAATAGTACTATTGTTATTATTATCATTACCACTAATATTACTTTCATACTTTATACATTTTCATCATTATTATCATTAGTGTTACCAATTTCATTATCAATTTATTGTTACCGCTATTATCATTATGATAATTGTAATTATCATTATGATTATGATGATTTTCATTATCATTATAATTTCCCTTATTATTCTTGTTATTGTTGTTTTTGTGTTATCTTAATTATAATTTATTATTAATATTATCATTATTATCATTATTATTATTGTTTTTTTATTGTTATTGTTATTACTATTATTATTATCATCATTATTATCAATTAATATCATATTATTGATATCACTATTATTATAATCATTATTTTCATTAATCATCATAATCATTATCACCATCATAGTTGCCAATTTCCTCCGTTATGCCCCCCGCACATGTATGTTGATTTTTCTATCAGTAGTGGCTTATGCAATGGCCAGCATGCGTCCGCCTCAAGGATTATGCTGCAGGAAGCTAATCCGAACTGAAAACCCGTGTTTTTCCTAAACGATCAGCGTTCTGCGAAACACGCGAGGGCGATTCTCTCACCAGCCTCGCCGGGGCAGGAGGCCGAGGCGACGTCTTGCTCAACATCAGCTCTTTACAAGCCTGTTCTGCGCTGCAATAAACCCGAATATTTTTTTCACCCTTTTGTATTAATAATGCAAGATATATATAAGATAATAGTTTGAGCATTAACAACGAATCTGGAGAGTTAAAAAAAAGGTTTCGCACGGATGTGTCACTGGAATTTAATTGACTGACTTTTTATATACAAACCCTCATAAAAAGTGCCCGCCCGTTCATTATTAACTTATCAGCCATTGTTGCGGCCGCAGTCACAGGGGCGGAGTAGGGGGGGCGAGGGGGCTGAGGGAGGGCGAGAGGTGGGAATATGGGAACACATCAGCGAAGTTAACAAGGCACTTCGCGCTTCATATCGCTGTCAGCCGTGCCACCGATAACGGAAGGACGCATTCCTATTTGGCAACGAAGATGTTTTGGATCTAAGCTGCGTAGTCAATTGAAAAAAAAAAATGTGAAGGGAAGAAAAATGTAAAATGGCAAGGAAAC